TGCGACAGAAGATTTTGAAGAAAGGAGAAGAACGGAAGAGGCACAGCCAATGGCTTCCGAAAGAAGTGAAGCAGATCCGACGTCTGCTGGACTTGCCGGTGAGTGCGGTACGACTACACCGCACACCTAGAAAGAAGCTTCAGCCAGTGCCGAATGGAAAGAAGAGAAGGAGGATCACGATAATGCTTTTAGAAGGACCAGGAGAAGCTATGATCGTGGATGAGTCCACTAAGGATATGGAAAAGCCGAGGAAGACCTGCTCGGTGGCTTGGAGAGGATTGACCGTTTTTGTCAATCCAGAAGCAAAGAAGTCAAAGAAGGAGCCACCTCACAAGGCCTATGTCCAGATCGATGAAAACACATACGAGGCATCTTTGAAGAGTTCAGAAGAAGTGAAGATTTGGAAAGACCTCGTAGAAAAGGAGCAGGTGTGGCAGGTCTACAAGCAGGTGCTGCTTCTGAAGTTGAAAGCTTCAGGGAAGGAGCTAGACCCACGATGGTTTAGCGAAGAAGAAGCACAGAAATTTCAGGACTCGGACCTGCGGGAGTGGGAGGCTTGGATCAAGAATGGGGTGATAAAGCGACTCACTCCGGAAGAGGCTGCCTCCGTTCCGAAGTCTGCCATTTTTTCGACTTCCCCTCCGCATCGTTCGGGTCGGGTCAACAAATCGAAAGATCCCAAAGAGATCCAACCGAAAAGCAGGATTGTGATCCCCGGTCATACTGACCCAGGACTGGGGGAGTTCCGGACGGACAGTCCTACCACCACTCCCACAGCAATTCGTATGATGAAGAGCTTGAGTGTAACCCTCCATTGGTGTTGCTATGCCTTCGACGTGGCCACGGCTTTCTTGAGTGGTCGAAACACCGATCGTCTTGTGTTTGTCAGGGGGCCCAAGGATGGACTTCCGGCGACAGACACCACTCCAGCAGTCAAGCCATATGAACTCCTTCGTGTGGTCAAACCTGCATACGGATTGGCAGAAGCTCCAAGGCTTTGGTACCTCCGTGCAGTGCAGTTGAACTTTTGACTCAGGTTGGCATGCAAGAGATCCCCTTCTGCCGAAGCACTTTCGTAGCCAAGAATGATTCAGGTGTTTTTGCTTTGTGTGGCTTACACGTTGACGATGGGTTCCTAACTGGAAACCCAAGAGACCCTGATTTTGAGTCCCTCCGAAAGAAGATCGACCAAGCTTTCAATATCAAAGCCTGGGAAAAGATTGATTTGAAGGGAGTAGATTATTTGGGTATGAAAGTCAGTTTTGACCAGAGCCAAAACGTGATCATCGATGACATGACCACGTATGTTCTCAAGATCCAGCCCATGACGGTGCCAACTTCGCCTGGCAAACTTTCCAGCCAAGACCTCACGGCTTACCGCCAGCTTGTGATGAAGATGCGCTGGCCGATTCAGCATGTCACGCCGGAATACATGTTTAGAGCCAGCTCCTTAGCACAACGCGTCTCCACCGCCTCGGCATTGGAGGCCAAGGAGGCAAATCAGTTGTTGGAGGAAATGCATGAAGCAGCGCGAGCTGGAGAAGCCCGTCTTGAATACCATGAGTTGAAAGGTGATGCTCTTTTTGTCACATATTTCGATGCTGCGTTAGGAAAGAAGGATGGGACTGCACAATCTGGCGAGGTCCATGTGCTCACGGATTCCTTGTCTCTGTCCCAGCCCCGGCGTGCCAACATCATTGAGTATCACTCGAACAAGATTGGCCGTGTGGTTCGCAGCAGCTTGGCAGCTGAGAGTTGTGCCCTCACAAAAGGGGCAGATGTGCAGTTGTACAGTCGACTCCTGTATGGAGCGTTGAGGTATGGCCAGTTGGATGTCGCGCCAAACTGGCGTGAGTCGTTGCCTGTACAAGGTCTGTTGGTCATAGACGCGAAGGGTCTGTACGACCACTGATTGAGCTCAGGTCACTTGACCCAAGAGCGTCAGACGGCAATCGATCTCCTCATGACAAAGAGGATGATCGAAGAGAAATTGGTAGGTCTCCGTGTTGGGTTCCCACTTTCAAGCAGTTAGCCGATGCTCTCACGAAGAGCATGAAGGATGTTCTTTTGAAAGGCCTTAAGAAGAATGGTCACATCTGCCTCATATCCACGGAGTCGGATTTGGCAGAGGAACAGAGGCGATCCGCTATCCGGAAAAAAAGGCCAACGAGAGCGTCGAAATGCTCGTGCCAAGTCTGGGCAACAAGTTCTTTTTGGGATGTGAGTTTTTGTGTGTTTCGCTTTCGCATTGCCCAGACATGTTGCACCGAGCTCAGCCGATTCAAACCGCAGATGACGTCATCAAGCCGATGCCAAAAAGTTTAGCACTCGCCGCTTTTGCACTTGCTTTGCTTGGCGATACCCCGAACTTTGGAACCCTTGCTTGGTTGCATTTCTTGGTTGGTTTTAGCGAGTTCGATTGGTTCAACAGCAAAAAGGCTTTGTCAAATTTGTTTTGGCGTTTGAGCCAGTTCTGGGGTGCTGTACTTCCCGAGCGATTGAGCCCAATCCATTTGACTGGACATGAGCGCCCCAGCAGTGTCGAGACGGAGCTGATGGTTGTCAGAGAAAGAGCGAGCTGTGAGTTTTCAGAGAAGGTTGGGCAAGTCTGTTCACTGGAGAAGGCCTCTTTAGGGAATGGGCGACATGTTTAGGTACTTCAATGGTTCTGCTGTCCCTAGCAGACCCGGCATTTCTGTCGGATTCTTGGAAGCTTTGCTAAACCTGTCTGAACTGGATATGTTCGTCGCATGGTGATTTTTCAACTCCGTCCAAACTGGTTGCAGCCATTGCCTCCCCCTTGATAAATCAAGTGCCACATCATTCATGGCTAGCTTGAGTTCTTGAAGAAACTGGGGGCCAACAATGAAAAACACCAAAGTACAGAGATTCACAATGAAAGCCAGAACAAGCCTTATAAACTTATAAACACCTTTCGTTGGAGAGAGCCCGTTTTCACAATTAAAAAAATATCAAACAAGTCAAAACAGTCAGTCCCAAAAGTCAAAGTCATTCAAGTAAAATCAGAAAGTTTCAGAAAGTCAACGAAAAGTCCATTTGCCCAGATCCGACTTTTTTTAAGTGTATATTCTGAGTATTCTTTTATTTTTTAATATAAAGAGAATATATTTTCCCGACTTCTCTGACATGTTTTTTGACGTTCTTTGACTTTTTCGAGCGGTTGACTTTTTTTTACCTTTATTTGACCCTTTTTTTGACTTTTCGGGTTGTTTTATAGTTTTGAGTTCTGTTTTTTCGACTTCATTTTTGCGCTTAATATTATTATTGTTATTATGTTTTAAACAAACTTTTTGGTGACGTTTTTTTGGGACATTTTCGAGCAGTGGTATATTTTTGACATTTTTTGAGTTTTTTCCCCAAACAGGTTTACCTGTGAGGGGTTCTTACTCCTTTTAAAGGGGTGCATGCTCGGGCCGGATGATTTTGAGTTTGTCTCCGGGCTTGTGTTCCTGGCCGCATGAATTCACCCTTGTCTCCCACTTGTCTCCCAGTAAGCTCTGGATGCTCTCAGTGCCCTGGCCGCATGATTTTATACTTGTCTCCCACTTGTCTCCCAGTAAGCTCTCGATGCTCTCAGTGCCCTGGCCGCATCATTTCTGGCCGGATGATTTCACGCTTGTCTCCCATTTGTCTCCCACTTGTCTCCCAGTAAGCTCTGGATGCTCTGAGTGCGCTGGCCGCATGATTTTATACTTGTCTCCCATTTGTTTCCCACTTGTCTCCCAGTAAGCTCTTGATGCTCTCAGTGCTCTCAGTGCTCTGGCCGCATGATTTCACGCTTGTCTCCCACTTGTCTCCCAGTAAGCTCTGGATGCTCTGAGTGCTTGGCCGCATGATGTCACACTTGTCTCCCACCTGTCTCCGAGTAAGCCCTGGATGCTCTGAGTGCTCTGGCCGCATGATTTCACACTTGTCTCCC